GTTGGTGCTATATGTTATATTTATACGTTTAAAAAATATTTTTTGTTGCTCAGAAAAGCCACAGCATTTTTTTATCGTTCGAAACCAGGAAGGTGTAGTTATATTTTTTGTACTGTCTAGTAAGTCTGTCAGGAATATATCGCTTTATTTTCCTCTTCTAACTTTGAGTAAAATTGCAATTGTTCAAAATAGTTTTGTTGTTTATAAAGTACAGTTTGGTTATTTGTGCATTTTCTAAAGAATTTCATAATTTATGCATTACGTGGAATTTTTTGTCGTTTGAGACTCTTTGGAAAGTCCTTAAAACGTTAGGTAGAACTTTTGAACTTTTGAATTAGGAAAAATAGTGTGGCATGAATGTATCTTTTGGAAAGTTGTTTCTTCTCGTTTTAGCTATTATTGAATTTATTTACTGGAAAAAACCATAAGAAGATCTTAGCTTTTGTCGTCAAGATTTTTTAGTTCAGTTTTCACTGTGTAATTTTATCAGGAGAAGTATTAATTTTCTAGATAAAATTTTTTCAGCCTTTTCTTTTCGTTTGCTTAGGAAGTATATAATTTTGAGAGAATTTCGTATTATTATACTGTCTTGTTTTAGATTCATGTTTGTTTCAGATAACTTAATTGATTTACAACATTTTGGTATTTAACCACATGTTACAACAATAAGTTGTTGTGTGCTTGACCGCGCATAGTTTTGGAATTTTAATTATGGCGGAGGGAGTCTCATCTTCGGCACCACTGTTCCGCGTGAGAAATCGAAGGGGACAACAAGGTGCTATTCGGCAAAAAAATAAAAGTGAATCGAGTGAAGAGGAAAGTGGTCCATTGGTAAAAACTGGTGTAAAAAGAAGGATTCGAAATAATCCGATGGTTCAATCTGTAAGTGGGCTTTTTCCAACGAATTTCAGGCAGTGTTACTAGGGAAAAGGAACATTTGGGATAAGGTTTGGTAGCTCAAGTAGTTTATGTCTAAAGCTCGTATTGAAAAAAATTGTTTATCTATTTTGTTTAGCTTTTAAGCGTATTTCTTATGTTTCCCTTTTCATTGTAAATCAGTCTTAGAATGATCAGAAGAGTTATGCATATTTGGAAGGATTTGGCTTCATTTATTACGCTTTTTCCGACTGCGTTTAGTTCTAAATATTATTTAAGAATTCTTATTAAAATGACGTTTTTCTTGGCTTTTTTTTGTATGATATGAATTTTAGGAAGAGAAGAATTTATTTTGAGTAGACTATTTCTAATTTAATGCTTGATTACATATTGTGAGGGATTTTCTTTGTAGACTAATAAGAAGAAATTATTGACGAAACGCAGAAGTTCTTCCTCATCTTCGGTAGAGGAGGAGGATGAGGTGTCTCAAAAAGATATTGTTGGAGAGTTTAAATCTAGTGGAACCGCAGATCGCGCTGGACCATCTGACATGGGCGCAACCGCTACTAGCGAAATCGATACGGAGGCAGATCGTGATGCTCAAGCACAATTTGAAAGAGTGCAAGCCGCGTTGAAAGATGGAACTGATGACAAAGTATTTGTTTCACAAATTAAATTTAGTTTTTTATATTACTATATTTATTTTGATATTATCAGGTCTATCGCGGAGCAGCCATGTATGGTGCGAAGGAGAAAAAAGACACTGCCAGAGGGAAGGCTTCATCTGGTCTTAACCGTATAGGACCGATAAGAGCACCGAATTTTTTGAGGCAATCGGTTCGTTGGGATTTTGCCCCAGATATCTGTAAAGACTACAAAGAAACTGGTTTTTGTACTTTTGGAGGTCTGTGTAACAAATTTTTATATTGAGTTTTTTATTGTATTATTTGTGTCATATTAAAAACTGCAGAAAATTGGTAGTTCTGTCAAGGAGGGACAGTGGGGAATAAGGTTGGACACTCATTGAATGATAATTCATTATTTTTTAGTTACGGTACCACAAGGGTTGTTAAAAATGAATTAAGATGTTTCTTTTTTTCAGATTCTTGTAAATTTATGCATGACAGGACAGATTATAAGCATGGATGGGAAATTGAGCGCGATTATGAAGCAGGGCGAATGAAGGAAGATGACGATGACAAATACGTAATACATAGTAGTGATGAAGAGGAAGATAGTGCAGAGCTTCCTTTCAAATGTTTTATTTGTCGTGATTCGTTCAAAAACCCCGTAGTAACAAAGTATGTGAAATTTATGAAGTGTTTATGATGCTTTTTTGTTTGCATGAAAATAGCTAAATAAGGAAGTTTTGATATATTTTTTATATTTCTCTGATGCATTGCCTCTTAGCCTTAACAGTGAATTTCTAGAAAGTGCTTTTGTTTCAGGTGTAAACACTATTTTTGTGAGAGATGTGCTCTGGAACATTTCCAGCGGACACAGAAGTGTTTTGTTTGCGACCAAAACACTATGGGTGTCTTCAACGTTGCTAAAGGTGGGTCGAATTTTGAAGTTTGAACACATAGAAGTTTTTATATTCTTATATTTTAACTTTAGGAAAATTTACAATTGGTCGGATTTTTTCAGAATTGGTTGAAAAATTGAAACAGGGAGGTAATGAAGCAAGTGTTGGAGATTCTGTGGTAGTAAAAACTGAAATGGATAATGAAACTTTCATTACGGCAAAAAATGAAGCTGAAGAATTTACGACCATAAAAGGCGAACTAGAAATAAAAAAGGAAAACCTTTTACCTGATGATTCTGATGATGTCTAATTTCTTTTCAATTCACATCTTTCTGCTTTTTGCACTTTAAGTAATCGGTCGTGGTTTGGTGGTCTAAGTGTTTTTTTGTTAACGATGTACATAAAAGCTGTTGTTGAAATATTTTTTTATCGTGCCTCACTTGCATCGCTGGCTTCGTTCAGAAGCTGATGGTTTATTGCTTATAGGTCTCATATTATTTTTTTTGAATGATTTGTAGTTTTGTTTTGAAAAAGTTTACCTATTACGTGAGCAGCTGAAAACTTGTGTCATTTAAACTTGTCAAAATGTTCTTTTAATTTTTCTAATCGATGATCTCTGTTTCTTGCCATTGGTGAATAAAACAGCTTGGTTGAACTCGAGTTTCGTGAGACATTTATTTCAAAGTGAATAGCAAAGTAGACTGAAATTTTTTTGGGGGGGGTTATTTATGGGCTGTTTTAGAGGCGCAACTTGCACGTTTGGAGGCGGAGGACGGTTTTCCGTTGCGGTTGTGCTAATTGTTTCTACTGTTGCATTTTCGAAGAGAGCTTCGGGAAGGGTTTTTCCTTGGTTGATTTGCTAATAGGGCTTTATACTGTCAATTAGTCTTATTGGGTTGACGTGTGGTATTCGCTTGCTGCTTTTGTCGAACTCGCTGAAGCTTGGGCTTACGCATAGTTTTATTGACGCTCTAATATCGCTTAGAAAATAATAATCAATAATGGTTACAATGGGAGTGTGGAATTAAATTACAGAGTTTCAAAAGGAATTCAAGGGAGAGGAAAAGATTATTAATGTGACTTGTATGGTGGCATTTATTGGTATAATACTCGCTAAATTTTGTTGGAGGTAATCTTCACGTGATGTCATTAAATGCTGTCTTAGAAGTTGGCTTATTTGGGTTGAGTTTTACAGTCTAATCGTGTTTTTGCAGCGTTCGAGAATGCTGTATAGGGAGGGCGTTATTATGTTGACTTGAGAACTTTAAAAAACGCTGTCGTTGTCTAAACCACCTTGGTTATCAGAAGTTATGAGATGATCAGTTGGTCATTGTCTGTCGTGTTCTGCGTGATGAGGTATCGGCATACAAATGAAATTGTCAATTTTAACTGTGTAGTCTAAAAAAATCCAGATGTATCGAGCAACTTCACGCTGGATTTAGGTTTCTCACTGGTCTCCAGTAACATGCTTCTTTAGAAACAATCTTAAATCTTTAGATTTCTTCAAATACATCTAAACTATCGGCCCGGCTTAAGAAGCTAGCGCTAGGCTTGTGTGCGTTGGCGATGTTGGTATGTCGTGAGAAACATTGTTTTCTTGAAGAACTTAGAAAAGATTTAAATTGTTGTTATTCCAATGGGTTGCTAAACTGCAATATTTCACTTTTTATCAATCGTCTTTTTAGGTTCAAAAGCTGTGTGGCTATTTCCCGAGGGACTGGTTTATTGGAAGTGCATTGAGATGTAATTTCACATCTCCGCTGTTAAAACAAACGTGATTTCTCTATTTGTTGCACAAACAACACTTAATATCTAATTTTTGTTCTTATTTTCACGGACTTATTCAGTCGAATGGACTTATTGGCTGCTTCAAAATGTTTACAAATTGTGTACCTAAAGTTGATTATTCAGTTAACTTTTTCTTCGTTGGTAGGCATTTGTTAATCTATTGTTTTGCGTTGGATAACTTCAGGTGTAGTATTAATTCAGCTTCTATTAACCAACTTTTTTTATTGGTTTTAGAAGTTTAAAGATCTGTTCAAACGTTACATAGTTTTTTTTTTATTGTTATTATCTAGTTTTATCTTTCTAAAGTGACAACTCATTTAAAAATATAATAGATCTAAATTATTGACATTTCAAGTCTTTAAATTGACACGTAGCACAAAATTTTTGTCTGCTTTACATTAAGTTTTTCAAATTCAGTGCTGGTTGTATCGAAGTTGGAAATAATAAGGCCTATTTGATCTTTATTCTAAACAAAGACTGATTTATTCTGTTTTATAAATTATTGTAAAGTTGAATAAAACAGAAAAACTATAACACTTTTATCTGTAGGCTCTGATTCTTACATACTTTTTTTTTTTATATTGAATGAAAACTTAAAAACAGAAAAAATTATTAATCTTTGATGCGATTTCAATTCTTATATTGTTTTTGGAACAATTTAAGTCAGAAAAAATTTGTGATCTAAATGCAGTTTGATGGGCAGAAAAAAATTTTTATTTGGCATTGAATGAAGTTTTATAATGAATATTTAATTAAAGTTTCAATTTAGTTTTTACCAACTTATGGAGTCAGTGATTTGAGCAGCATTGTAAGTCACGATATTAGTATCCAACTTGAAGAACTGAATGTATATGGTGGTGAAAATTTAACAAATCCGGCAGCAAACTGCTCATTAACATTGCACAGAAATACGTGTGATAGTAAACCGTTGTCAGTGGAGGATAAGATTTCTTGGCAAACAAAACTTTGTATCAAATGGAGTTGTGACATTGGTAAATGCTTCTAAAATTCTTTTTTTTTTTTTTCTGTTAATAATTTATTTTTGCTGATGGATGTTTCAAAAGTTTTTTATGTTTCTCATTTATCATTTACTTGTACAGCTACCATATCACTACGAGTGGTTGTTAGCATTTAAAATCTTTTTATGAAAATTTTGGACCTAAATGCTTGAACAGAATTTCTAAGTGACTTTTAAAATTAAATAACATCTTAAAAAAAACTTCTATAATTCATTTTCTTCGTGATAGCTGTTGTTTCAAACTTTACCTGAACATTGTTATAACCATAACTTTTGTTGCAATTTTGTTTTAATTTACCTGAAAATTTTTAGTTTTATGTCATTTTTTTCTGCTTCTGAGTTATTTAGTTAAATGTATAAATTCTTTTAAAAAATCGATATGGTATGTTAAAAAATGAACTCTTCATTTGTAACAAAAAAAAACGGGCCATCTGGCAAGTAAATAGACTTTTTGGGACAATACGTAAAAGTCTTAAGTGATTAGCAAAAAACAGAGTTGTTAATGCAAGCTTATGTCTTAGTTTATCTTTAAAACTGTAAGATAATTAAATAATCTTTTTTTGTTTGAAACTAATTCTGTTGTTGTATTTCTGGAGAAAAAAAATAGCATTTCTGCAATTATTCAGCTGAATATGCAATACGAGTAGAAAACTGTTGGACAAACAGCAGAGATATTCCTTATTATATCATCGGCCCCAACGGGTTTGCGTTTCTTTTGCTTAATTCCTTGTCTATTTTAATTTTAACAGAAGAAAATGCTAAACTTGGGAGCCATTTTAATTATCTGTTAGTAAATTCTGAAAGTCAATATCTTTTAGTTCAGGTGTACCAAAGAGAAGATGATGATGAGTTCGCCGAATTATCAAAAGAATTTGACAAGTGCCACTGCGAACGGTTTTTTAAACGTGCGTCAGGAAGGCATTTCGATGCCAAAGTTTGGTTGCGATATCCAACTTTGCCATTTATGCGATCCGAATTGTCTGGCGATTATTGTACGTAAGTTCCTCTAAATTTTTGAAGTGGTGAGCAGAAAGTTTAGTCGTTAATTAAAAATTTCAAAAAATATGATTGTTCTGAAGCCTTTTTTGTCGTATTTTTCGTTCCAATTTTTTAACTTTTTTTTGTGATGCTTATTAATAGTTAAAAATTGATAAATTATGTTTTATAACATAAAATTCAAATTCTATTGATGTCAGTAATTGATTTTTAGCCGCCTCCAAACTGTTCGGACTACTCAGACGCTTACCGGAACAGTAGAGAATTAATTTATTGGAACACCAGCGAGTCGTATAAATCATTATGCCTTCCGGACGAAGAGGTTGCAAGTTTATACTCGGATGAGGCGTCCAGCAGCAAAAGAATTTTAGGGACAAAAGAGATTCTTCTATTCTTCCATTTTATGTTTTTATCTTTTTTTGAACGTAGCGTCCCTCTAATTTGATCTCAGAAAAAATTCTTATCTGTAAGGTGCCTTTAGTTGCGGTATTAATGCTCATCCAAAATTTTTTCGGCTCTTTTTTACTACCAAACAAAAAGATACATTGAGTATGAAAAAGTAAATGATTTCTAGTGATATTTCTTTTCTTTTCTCCTTTATTTACTACTACTGATTGCTTTTAAGCATTCGTAATTTTTGGTACCGAAAACAGTTTTGTGCGCTATATTTAGTTTTTACTTAACTGAATTGCTAAAATGTGATCTATCTGAAGCGGTCATTCCATGCCGAATGGCGTACTTTTTTCACGTAATATTTGAAAATTTTTCAAACTTTGTTGCGTAGTAGAATCTAGGGCAGTAGCCGAAACGAAAATCTGGAAGAGTGAATTCTTTGCCAAGTCATACCCTGTCAAAGATGCAAAATTTTCAAGATTGCCGTTTAACATGTCTATTTTTGCAGATTCTTACCATGTCTCCTACTTTGAATACAAATTAAATGGTTGTATTCTTGTAAAAAATCGTTTACATACAATAAAAGCAAAATAATTGTTGTAGAAAAGCGTATTTTTGAATTAAAAAAAGAACATTTTGTGTAAAACTCACTGTTTTATACCGTATCAAAGATCGCATACGGCATTTTTTTGGAGTCAAGAGTTAAGGACCGAGAGAACTTCCCGTAATTATAGCAGTTCCGTAAATTTCACGATGGCAAAGTGTGGTGGCATGCTTCAACCGTTGAAGATCTGTTGAAGAAAATTACATTTTACTTTTCACAAAATATTACCAATCTATTATTCTGCAGAGTCGTATGAAGCAGCCTTCATTCCAGTCTTTTTTGCTCTCTTTATAACTTGGTTAATTGACAAGGTCAATAACCGGACATTTAACTTGCAAAGCAGAGGCACTGGTAACGTCCAACATAACAGAAACTTTGTAAAACGAAGAGTTTAGCTGCGAAGAATCTATGTAAAATAAGAGATTTTATTTTAACGCTAAAGAGGTCAGGGAAGAAAGAGATTCATAAACCTTTTAAACCGTTTTTATGAAGTATTTTTTAAAGTTATTTTTAAAGTATTAATTATTCACTTTTTAAAGTTTTATTTGTACAAGTAAAAATGAACCCAACTCATTGTTCCCGCTCTAATGCTGTGTGATACAACCTTCTAAACAGTTTAGGTTATAACAACTTTAAGAAAAACCTGAAATTGGCAGATAACAGCTGAAAGCAGTAGGCTTTCAAATTTTTCTTGATGCCAAAATGTACTGGGTAACTAAATTTGACAGAGAGAAAGTGAGAACAGAAAACTTTGGAATGAAGACTACTTTTTACAATTCCGCAGAATACTAAATTGTTAATGTTTTTAAGTAAAATATTACTTTTTTCAAGCATTTTTCAACGATCAAAATACGCCAAATTTTCACAATTGCTCTTCGCAGTTTTCAAAAGCAACTGAGAAAAATCTTGCCATTGTAAAGTGCATGAGATCACTTTAATAACAGAGGGTTTTCCTGTCTTACTGTCTTTTTCAATTTTTTACTACTGAAATTCTTTAGATTTTTAGAAGATACGACAGAATAAGCACATTTAAAACAACTCTTAATGATTACAAATTATAAATGTAAAAAAGTAGGCTTAATGCAGCAAGAATTGTTGTTACCACTCAAATTCTTCTTCAGATTCAAAACACACAAAAATAGAAACAAATCTCTTTCAGAAAACTAAAATTCTGGAAATTAGAAAAGGAGGAATAAGAAGCCGATAGAGCTTTCAACTGAACGAGCTTCCAGGAAATGTATTGGAAACGGAGTTGTACCGAAATGTTGATTATGTAAAATTTATAAAAACAGTTTTCTCTACAGAAAACTTTGGTACATTACGCGGTTGAGATTGGACCTACCGAAGCTGTGAGAACTTTGGCTGAAAACGGCGCTGACCTGAACACATAAGGTGGTTGGCAGGTAAGAACTTCTTTATAAAGCTCTAAATTATGAGCAAGAAGTTAAAAAAAATTGTTTAGTCGAAAAAAAAA